GACAAGAATCGGAACAATTATACCAGAGTACGAGACTCCAACAACATAGAATGGATTTGATATAAATTTCGGATGATCAACCAACCACTAAAAATTCCGAATTTTTAACATCAAAGAAATAAACGACAAGGAAAAGAAGAATGCTTTGATTTTAAACTAACAGGAGATTTTCACAAGTCACTTTTCATGAGTATATATAATACATACCTTTCTCAAAAATTGAAGAGCATGGTGAATTTGGTTAAAATCTCCTGGCTTCCGATCTTCTGAAGTTGTACTATATGAAAAACCCGTGCCCATCGGCAAATCAACAAAGATTATACTGGACTTCTAGCAACCATTATCACCATAAAAGTTAGTCTAACAATGGATGAGATACCATGAAGAAGTTAAAAACTAATCTTTCTTTGAGGACAAAATTTGCCTACTGGTTGCCCACTTTCAAGATTTTGAAATGTGTTTTATTAATATTCAGGGGTTCCATCTCAAAACCAATTTGCGATGGGAGGAGTAGCCCATGTCTATTATAAACCATTGTTAAGTCCCTTCTTTTATCGATGTGGGATCCTTAACATGTTTAAAAGAAGAAAAAAGTTTCTGTCTCTCCCTATCTAGAGTCTCAACTACCCTGTATCAAAATCTCAAGATGGGCAGCAAGATGGAGAAGTTTTGTCCTTACAGAACAACTGTCACCTTGGTCCATGAGTGAGGGTCCAAGATGAGTTCAGGTACGCTCCCATTGTATAACTCCTCCTTAAAACTAATGGGACCTTTAAATAAATGCATTACAGAATCACAACAATCAAAGCTGTCAATCACTTGAAATAGTAAAATGCAATGGCAACGAGATGAAATTTGTTGATGAAACTAAATGGAAACATTTATGAAGTTGGTATGAATCCGGGGATGTTTATGATGAAATGAATAATTTACCAATTTCAAAGGCAAGTCCAGAAAGAGCAGAGCAACCGGGGCCACCGGGAAGCAAGAGAAGGAGAGGATCGGTTTGGGGATTTCCTTCAGATTCGACGAAATAGTAAAACAATTGGACTTCCTCCGAATCCCCCACTCCCACGTATCTGTAATTTCAAAATCCAACTAAACTTCTGCTTCCCATTTCTCACTCAAATCCAAACCCTAGACAGAAGAAGCAGAAGAAATTAACTAACCCGGTTTCCAGTACGAAAGGAAGAGGACCTGAGAATCCCGGCAGAAACTTCACCCTCGAGTAAGAACCTCCGCCTGCGGCGGCGGCGATCTGAAAAAGAGCAATCGAAAAAACAGAGAAGCGGAAGAGAACAGTGGCCATCTTGCATTGATTGTTTCATTTTTGGACGGATATTAAATAATGCGACTATTTTGTCTTCAAGTTATATAAAATCCAATTTATTGGACAAAGGAGAACATTTATTCTCCGAGCTCTGGCCTACTAAAAAGAAAATAGTTTTTTAATCGGTTAAATTACTATTTTGTTTTTGTACTATTTAATCTTTATATTTTTAAATATTTATTTTTTGTCGCTATACTTTATCATTTTTGTTTCTATTTACAAAATTGTAACACAAATTATATACATAACTTATAAACTTTTCAATATAAAGTCATGGATAATAGAAAAAAAGAGATTAAAAATAAAATTAAGAGAACAAAATAGTCGTCTTTTAATGTATGACAAAAACGACATATAGAAAGTACTATGATTAAAATGAACCAAAGCTGAAAGCATTGTTTCAAATGTCGAGCGATACGTCGATATATGTTGCTCGACACGTCGACCCCCTTCTACATTTTGACCCATTCAAACATTATACTTGATTTCTAGTCTTTCTACATTATCGCGCTGCAGGAAAGCTAACCCAACCATGGATGAAATACAACGAAAGAAGTTAAAAATGGCCTATTTCTTTAGGAACCAAACTTATGCATAAATGAGACAATATGCAAGTTTGGTCTGTCTTTAATAGGCCAACAGTAACACTTAGAGAATATAATATATAATTGTCACCTTCGACCATGAATAAGGGTTCAAGATTAGTTGAGGCAGGCTCCCACCCATTATACGACGTTACACTTCCTTAGAACTTATGGACCTTCAAATAAATACATTGTAAAATCATCCTAACTAAAGTTGTCAATCCCTTCAAATAAACAAATAATTGTCAAAACGAGCATAACTCTGACATATACCCCCAATTAAGATGGTGTGAGTTCGAATCTCTTTCCCAACATGTTGTACTAAAAAAAATCAAATAATTAAAACTTTAATCAAATCATATATTATAACATTTTATACATGAGATTTAGCACATGAATCTACATATTTCGTTCTGCTTGTCGTTAATTTTAATTTGATCAAATTTTACAAATAGTTGTTTATTTATCGTGTGATGAAAACTTAAATTTGTACTAGTTTTTTTTATTTCTCGAAATCCATGTCGTGTGACTTATACTAGCAGATCTCTATAACTGAGATTCATTAACTGAACCGAGCAACATTGTGATCAGCGCATGACTCGAATTTGAAGTCTCAAGGTAGGTGGTACCTTAAGGCCCAAAGTTCTTGCCAATGCACCATCCTCAATGGAACAAATTGTACTAGTGCTACATAGTAACAAGCTATATTTAAGGTCAACGCTTCTCGTTTCCACTTTTATTAAAAAATTTAGTATTTGACTTCTATTTATGTTTATTACTTCTTATTTTTTAGAAACATTTTTAAAATTGTATAGAAAACTTGAAAATAATAAAAAGTAAAAAAGAAGTTTTTTGTTTCTTGTTATTGTTTCAGAAGAAAATACTTGGCTTCTCACTAGTAAAGGATAAATCTTGTCCTTACCACCATTAAATATTTGATAGAAAATACTTGGCTCCTCACTAATAAGGCGGAATCGAAAAGCAAAAACAAAAAGTGTTTTTAAAAAACGATGAGTTATCAAATATTAAATGGTGATGTGGACAAGATTACTCCTTATTAGTGAGGAGTCAAGTATTTTCCTATTTGAAAACTCATCATTTCTTAAAAACACTTTTTGTTTTTGCATTTCTCCCTCTTAGTTGTCAGATATTTAAGGGTGGTAAAAACAAGATTCCTCCTTACTAGTAAGCAGTCAAGTATCTCCTTGTTTCAAATTTGCTCTAAAAATAAATAAGAATATATTTTTATCATGCTTGAATCTATAGGTGTTGAGCCATGCAATTTTATTTTCGAACAAATAGAAATAGAAATGATACCATTATCGAATGAATTATTTACAGATTCCAGAAGAGAATGGATAGAGAAGAGTAAAACACTTTGGAATGAGGATCATTCTTTTCTCTTTTTTCTTTTTCATTCATCTCTTCTTGAATGATGTGAGGGTATAAATGTGATTGTTGTCTCTCTAAAACATCTTCAATCCAATTTTACTTTGTGGTCCAAAAACAAACACATGCATTAGATTATGAGCGAATAAGATATCCAGAAAATAGAAAAAAAGGAAACACATGTGACATGGTTTGACAAATGAATGAAGCATGTTTTGATGCACAACTCTTCTTTGGAAAAAGTTTCTTCAAGGTAGTCTATAGACTACGGTTAATAACTAACTTTGACGTCTTTTGATTGATGATATATGTCTTAAATCAATTGAGTTATGCTTAATTTGACATACATCGTTTATTAGGTTAGTAAAATCTCGTTAAAAACAAAAGAAGCTACTACGTCCTATTAGTGATTCAAAATCTTTTTAAATTCCAAATTAAAATTATTTGATAGTTTTTGTTTAAAATATTTAAGAATAATAAAATTTAAATATTAATTAATCAATACATATAGTCAATGTTTTGAAAGGTTTAAGCATCATAGCTTTTTTTTTTTCACGGAGAGGCGAGACGTAAGCTTTGAGATATGATATAATACAACGACCCGTAAGACAGACTCTTTTAAATAAATTAAAATAATAAAAAAATATTGTGTTAAATATATATTAACAAAAACAAAGATACCTATAACCAACCTGAACTAATTAAGACATATATTCATGATTAATAGTTCCTTAATTCAAATCTTCAAATCTATATGATTCTCATAGTCCATCAACGAGGCGCATTCGTACTTCAAGGGATCTTTCAAGAAGTCATAATAATGTAACATTTGTTGTCACTTTCAATATCTATCCCTTTCTCTTCATCCAATGTCATCATATCACTATCACTAATAAGATCTTCCCTTTAGAAAATAAAGCACATGAAAGAAAAAAGGAAGGACAGTAAGAAAGCCAAAAAAAAAAAAATAACTAATAAACAAAAGAAGAAAAAAATAACTAACAAGAAAGATAACAAACAGAAAGAGGCAGAGAAAATAAAAAAGAATCCAATCCCTTTGTCCAATTGCCTCAAAATAGCAACCTACATTCTATAATGCATTTTAAATGAAGTTTCTTATTTTAGTTTTAAAAGTAAATACAAGTTATTCACTCGGGCTTCTTACTCCTGAGCTAATTTATTTATTGCCTTTCAAATGCATTGGACACTGATTAAGCAAAAGTTTGATTAAGCAATAGAAGGGTATAATACTTCTTCTATTCACTCCCTGCTACTCGAGAGGAATTTGAATTTAGGATTATCAGGTTGTACATAAGTATCTTAACCTACTGAACTATGTTCACGTTGATGTTGTATTAAAAATGATGTGAGGTTCATAACATTAAAAATTCATTTACAAAAAGTAAATCTAGTATTAACAAAAGGAATATGACACTCTCGTAATACTGAAATTTTTTTCTTGTCTTGAGGCACATTATTGCTGCCTCGCTAATTATAAATTAATTAATATTGCTTCAATCCGAATATAGCTATAAAATACTTTTGACTGTCTTATCTTCAAGTTTGATGGTTTAGTACATCAACCTATGTATAGTTATTGAACTAAAATAATAACAATAATACTGTTACTGTTTAATCAAACCTAATCAACTGGAGCAGCTATAACAACGCCACTAACGTTTATTTATTTAAAAAAATTTCAAAAACAAATTATTATTATGGTAAAATAGTACCTGAGTTTGGAGATAAGTCTCTATAAATTTCAAAAAGTAACAATTTAATCCCCACCTTTTAGAAAATAGTTCTGAAAGGTTTATGGAGTTAAATTTTGGTTGATAAGAATGCTGATGTGGCTCGATGAGTTGTATATTTGTTTAATTCTATATTATTTTTTATCATATTTGTATATTTTCTTTTATTTTTCATTTTATTTTTCTTTCTCTCTCTTCCCCTCTTTTACTCCTCTCTCTCTTCCCTTCCCTCCGTCAGCATTGGGATCCATCCTCTCCACCGAATTCTCATTGCACACCCTCTGTACACCCTCTCCCTCTGCACGCCATAGGGGTCCAGCGCACGCCATAGGGGTCTTTCGCATTTTCCATTTCACTGCACAAAATTCCCTCGCCGTAGAACCGTTTTCCCGCCACTATCCTCATCACCACGTTGAACGTCGGCTCCGAGAACATCGATTTTAACTTCGCCTTCGCAAAATCCCCGCCGGATTTCTCCTTCCGGATGCTTAGAGAGGAGCTGAGGCGGGCCGTGGAGAAGATATCGCTGGCAACGTCGAGAAGAGGGAAGGGAAGAGAGAGAGAGAGAGAGAAAGAAAAATAAAATGAAAAATAAAAGAAAATATACAAATATGTTAAAAAATAGTATATAATCAAATAAATACACAACTAATCAAACGAGCATTCCGTTAGTGTTGCGTTCTCTAAAAATTTATAAAAAAAAAAAAGAACACAAAACCTATCAATAAATTTCCTCTTGATTCTTCCTGAAGATTGATGGAAGATAGAAATTCAAACTCCCAAATGAAGTTGAACGATATTAAAGAAGACAATTATTTTTTATAATTTTAGAAGAGAAATAATCTATTTATCAGTTTATTTTGGGTCAGTCCCATAAACAAACATTTTATTCTAATTAATGTTCAAACTTCAACCACTTGCCCACGCAACTTTTATAAGGATTTTTCCGTTATCCATCTACTAAAAATGATGCTACATTCTTTTCGTGTGTATTCAGCTGTGTGTCCTCCGCCCTAAAAATTCATGAAGAGAAAAAAGGCGCACAATCAATCATTTGTTCTATGAAAAAAAAAACCAAATAATTTTACATCAAATTTTGTCTTACTTTTATAGTTGCAAATGTCATCTTATTTGCATAAGTTCTTGTGTATCTGTATTAAAAAAAAAATATTAAGTTCTTGAATTAAATCATACGCTATAATAAAAATAAAATAATTACCCAGCTACTTGATCCTCGATGAACCATGGCCTCCAATCATCAACAATAGAATAATTCAAAGATTTGATCCATGCTTGAGTGTCCATAGATGGCACCATCATATCATGATCCCCGCTATATTTGGATCAAATTAAATAATGAGAACAAATGAAATTATTGCAAACAACAAATCATTTGATAGAGTTACTCATTACCTATAGATCAAAGACCGGTAACCTTTAGAACTAAGGTTCACATGATAAGGAAAAACGCTCTTAATTTCATATTGATAATCTTTTTTCTTACATCTTATCCATTCTCCAATGCTTCCCTGTTAAAAAAAAATAAGTGTAGATTCGATATAATTTMTCGTTGATATTCGAAAGTTCTATCCTATTCTAATAACTTCTCTTTGTACCTCACGTATGTGAAGTGCTCTTTGAACTTGGTCATCGTTTGCCCAATCATAAGAAAGCAAATACTTATACGACTGCATTACGAATACGAGTAAATATCATAGGAACTTCCTCATAAAAGAAGAATTAGCTTTAATAAAAACAACTTATTTCATGATAAATATAAGAACTTACAACGCAACCAGGATGAACAGGGGTGTTGTAGAGAGATCTGCGGCCAAATATATCATGTTGATTCGAAGACGGAAGCACACATTTGGGCCGCAAAATACATCCCTCCGAGACTTGTGAAATACACTAGTATGAAGAACAAAAAAAAAACACACCTATGTAATAATTATGAAATATGGTAGTTTGAATATTGCTTAAAAGTAAATAACATTAACAACTATCATATCATATAATATAAAATGCGTTTACCGACCTTTTCGTATGTATTGTAATGTCTTAAACACTCGACATTACTTGGATCAATGTTCACATATTCTCCTTTGCAACTAGTTTTCAACGACTGCACACGAATTAATAATTAGAGCAATTCTTCTCCTCTTATGCTCTCCCTCTCTTTTCATTTTTATTTTATTTTGTGTTAATTAATGCTTTTTTTCTTTATATTTTCCTCACACAACAAACTTTATGTTACCTCAAATAATTCATCAGAGATGAGGGTCTTGCTATGAGCAAAAGGGATTGCAAAGTTTTCATTTGAACCCCGAATGGTTATAGGATTTCCCAATATATATCCCTAGCATGGGAAATGGGAAAAAGAAAAGGAAAGCTAGTTAGTATGCTTCATTTTGTACATTAAAATTGGCAACTCAAATGACAAGCCACTAATAATAGACCAAGGAAATAATTCGAATCACCAACCTTGAAGTTTATAAATGGAAAAATATGCTTATTTCCTGTGACATTAAAAAAAAAAGGAATAGCCATTTATCTGGTTTGATGAAAACTATGTCAATAGAAAGAATTCGTACCTTCTAAAATTTCTTGGACAAGAATCGGAACAATTATACCAGAATATGAGTCTCCACCAACATAGAATGGGTTTGATATAAATTTTGGATGATCAACCAACCACTACAAATTCCAATCCATTAAAACTTTTATCATTAAAGAAAGAAACGACTGTTCACGGATATATATAATATATAGACCTTTCTCAAAAATTGAAGAGCATGGTGAATTTGGTTAAAATCTCCCGGCTTCCGTTCTTCTGAAGTTGTACTATATGAAAACCCCGTGCCCATCGGCAGATCAACAAAGATTATGCTGGATTTCTAACATCCATCATCACCATAAAAGTTAGTCTAACCATAGATGAGATATCACAAAGAAGTTAAAAGAACTAATCTTTTTTAAAGGACAAAACTTGCGCACTGATTGCCCGTGTCAAAATCTCAAGAATTGGACAGCTAATGGAAAAGTTTTGTCACCTTGGTCCATGAGTGAGGGTCCAAGATTAGTTCAGGTAGGCTCCCATTGTATAACTCTTCTTTAAACCTTATGGGCCCTTTAAATAAATGCAATACAAAATCATATAGCAATCAAAGCTGTCAATAATAATATTGATGAAATTTGTTGATGAAACTAAATTATTCGTGATGAAATGAAAATTTACCAATTTCAAAGGCAAGTCCAGAAAGAGTAGAGCAACCGGGACCACCGGTGAGCCAGAGAAGGAGAGGGTCGGTTTGGGGATTTCCTTCGGATTCGACGGAATAGTGAAACAATTGGATTTCCTCTGAATCTCCCACTCCCACGTATCTGTAATTTCAGAATCCAAATAAATTTTTGCTTCCTATTTCTCACTCAAACCCAAACCCTAGACAGAAGAAGCAGAAGAAATTAACTAACCCAGTTTCGAGTAGGAAAGGAAGAGGACCCGAGAATCCCGGCAGAAACTTCACCCTCGAGTAAGAACCTCCGCTGGCGGCGGAGAGGACCTGAAATAGAGAAATCGAGAAAACAGAGAAGCGGAAGAGAACGTTGGCCATCTTGCGTTGGTTGTTTCATTTTTCGACGGATATTAAATAATGCGATTATTTTCTCTCTGAATTATCTAACATGATTTTGGTCAAAGGAAAACATTTTTCTCCGAGCTTTGGCCCACTAAAACGAAAGGTGGTGTTTAATTATATATTTTTATTTTAGTTACTCCCTACAAAATTTTAACTTAAATTCTACGCATAGTAGTTAATATAATGTGGTTATTACATTTCAATAGATATATTAAATATAGTGTATTGTAATAAAAAAATGAGAATAAAAAATTTCGACCAAGTTAAAATCCACCTTTCTTTTTAGTAGGTCAAAATTGGGAGAGTAAGATAAGTTCGGATGGGAGTTGTTTATATGAATAATATATGAAATGAAAATTCCAAACCTCCACCCTTTTACATGGAAATGAAAATTAATTGAAATGAAAATGATTATTTATTTTTATGTTGTTTAAGATAAATTTTATGGACTATGAACTTTCATATTATATTCGCTATGATATATTCCTAACCTATAAAAATTGAATAACCTACCTGTAAAACTCAAATATAAAACATATTTAAAAAAATAAAACTTAGCTATATCTATCTATATATATATNAAAAAGAAACTTAGCTATATTTAAAATAAGATGAAAAGTTTGTGATATTTTAGAAAACTAGACGACAAAATAGTTTATGTCCTGGTACATTACCCAAAATATTCAAATGTTTGGAATTTATTGACACCATGTTCTTTTGCCGTGCCGCCATTAAATTTCTACTTTTTACTTGTTTGTGTGCACGTGGTATTTTTAATTTTGATTAGTGTATTAGAAAATAAAGTTTAATAAACTTAAATAAATATCATGACTAAATTATTTAAATAAAAATTATTATTTTATTATCAGTAGGACGGGTGAATATTTTTTTAAGAACAACATGTAGGAGTAGAAAATCAAACTTACAACTTCTTGATTGGACATATGAATCAATTATCACATAACTATTCTCGTTTCGACGTAAGACGGGTGAAGATATATTTTATATTTGCATATAAATTGATTTACATTATCTTTCGATCAAACAATATGGAATATGGACTAAGAAAGTAAAGATTAAATCCCATCACACTTCCTCCCACAATACTGTGAGAATTGGAATAAATGACCTTGAAAAAGATTAACTTTTTTCTAAAATCAATATTTTGAAGGAAGAAGAAGAAAAATAAGACGGCATTCAAATCTATTTAGTAACATTTCTATTTCTTATTTTTCGTTTTGAATTCTATTAAGAAATTTAAACATCTTTTTGAACTGATTATGTTTATTCTTTCTCATTTTTCAGAAACATTTTCAAAATTGTATTAGAGATTTTGGAAACAATCAAAACAAGTTTCTTGTTTCTTATTACCATTTTCAATTTATTCCAAAACATAAATAAAAAGATCATTTTATCATATTTGAATTAAGGGGTGTCGAGATCATGCAATTCATTTTTCTTTATTAAAAATTAGAAAATAGAAATAAGAAATAAGAACATTACCAAAAGCACCAAAACGAGCATAGCTCAGTGGTAATTGACATATATCTCCAACCAATAGGTTGTGAGATCAAATTCCCTGCCTAACATGTTTGTACGAACCAAAAAATACATTACCAAAAGGTTTTTATATTCCAAATACTAGAAAATGGCACATTATTTTTATTTACTAAAAAATCATACTGCTTATGAAAAGCAAGAAAACAATTAGTTACTTTTTATCAGTTTGAATAAACAATAACGTCCACGCAAAACAATCATAACTGAGGCTTTTGTTTCCTTTCAAACCATTGTTAAAAAAATAATAATAAATAAATAAATAAAACAAAACGAGAAATAGGAAAAAAAAAAAAAATCTCTCTTAAACCCTTTTGACTTATCAAAGAATTGGAATGGAAATGAATTGACGTATTCAAATAGCACTCCACAACCAAATTTCTAATATTTATGGGTATTTAAATTTTCATATATTTTTTCCATTGAAAATTTTTAACATATTTTTATTTTTATAGAATGACTTAATTTGAGATTTTTGTACTAAAATCACTAAGTGCCATTTGGCTATCAATTTTTAGTTTGCATGTTTGATAACAAAAACAATGTTCTGTTTTTCTAAACGCTTTTTATATTCTAAGTAATTTTTTTTTTAATCTCAATTTTTTTTTCTAGTACTCTTTTTTTTCCAACAAATTTCTTTCTTGCCCTAACATTTTTTCTACCTAAATTTCTCTTTCTAAAAAATTTATCTTTCCCTTTGAAATGTTCATCTCTGGAATATGTACTATTATTTTTCTCTCTTCAAAAAATTCTCTCTAGATTTTTAGAGGGCATCTCCAATTCTCGCCCCACCCTATTCTCATTTCTACCCTACGTAATGTTTTCTCTCCGTAACATATCTCTTCAATTTTCTAAAATTAAATAAAAAAACATAAGACAAAAAATATTAATCAAACGTGTTTGGTTTTTAATTGTTACATGTGAGTGGATAATCAAACTCATAACCCTCTTGTTTGATAATATATATCACTTACCATTTAGCTATACTCACTTTGACAATAAAAATATTATTAAACGGCTCTAAATAAACACACTGTAAAATCATTGCAATCAAACTGAAATCACTTCAAATAATCAAATACTTAAAACAAGTCGGAAGATTTTCCCGATGAATTCATATAGTGTTCAAAATTTTAGTTAAAGCATTTATTAAATGAATTTACTTTTAATCAGAATATAATTTATCATCATGCCAGATATTATTATAACATTTTGCAAATCACAATAATAATTTGAGTTTAGTTTCAATTATAATTAACAATGTAACACTTTTTATTTGGCAGACTCTATTATTAGCTTTTTCTATATACTAGAGTTTATGTAAGAACCCATTTGTTGTTGATTTCTAAAATGCGAAAAAAATATATTTATTGGAATTGTTAGAGTTAATAAGGGCATTTTGATCTTTTGACAAAAGAAAAAAAAAAGAAATTTGGTTTTTTATTTTGAGGTGATGCGTGTATGTTGGTGTGGGTGTTGGTGACATGTGGCTGAGAATTAAGAAAAAGAAAAGAAAAGAAAGGAAAAAGAAAGAAAAGAAGAAAGGAACGAAGAGAATAAAGAAAGGAAAAGAAGAGAGAGAGAGAGAGAAAACCAAAGGGGGTTGAAGAAAACAGAGGAGAAGATGAGACCCGATCGCAAAGTTATCTGAAAAAAAAAAAGGGGAAGAAGAAGATTTCTAATTTTTTAAGCCGAACTTAAGAACCTCAACTATGGAAGACAGCAAAGCTTGGTAAGGAAATCTGTTCCATGGAGTATTTGAAAATGAGTAGAAACTGAAGAGTAATTTTGTGGTTGTGTATATTATGTTTAAGAACCCATGTGAAAGAGTTAACGAAAATGGATTTTCGTCTCCTTAATTGATTTTACAGGTTGATGAGTTTAAGAGGTTAAACCAGAAATTGTTGGGTAATTAGATAGAAGGAAGATGAGTAGGCTTGCTTGAGACCTTCCTGGAATGTTTAATGGTCGTAAATGGTAAAGAAATTGGAGGAAAATGGTTTTTGGGGGAGGAAAAAAAAAAGAAAACAGAGAGGGAGTGAGGAAGAAAAGAAGAAGAACTCGTGGGTTTGGTTGGAGAAGAGAGAAGGAAAAAAAGAAGATGATGAATAGTTGTTGACGAGAGAGAAAGAAATTATGTATTAAAATAAAGAAGATATAATAAAAGTAAAAGAAAATGGGAGAAATCACGTGAGAAGATGAAAGTAAGAGAAATTGATTGTAGCTTGTGGTACCCACATTTGTAAGGTTGTAAGAAAGAAAAGCAGTGGTTTCAAATGAAGAGAGAGAATGAGTAATTTGGATAATTGATTTATTTTGAAGTTATTGTGATTAATTTGGAATTAGTTTATGTTGGAATTAAGTCAAATAATTTGGTATTAAATCGATATTTCAGGTCATACAGGAATTGGAGCTCCGTACAACCGAGTTTCAAGGATTTGTGAGTGGTTTACTTTACTAAATGTTTTGGATACTATTATTGGAATTTGTGAGTGATTACTTTATTAAAAGTTTTCTATTATCTAGTATTACAGAATTTATGAGAAATTATATATATTATGTATGATTTAGAATTTCTGCTGAGAATAAAAGAAAATGTGTTTGTTCGAGAATTCAAAAATGTTTATTAGAATTGAGAAATGCTTTATGATTTAGAGAAATATTCGAAGAAATTTATGAAATCTTATTTAGAAAGAGAGTTCATGAAATGTTCTTGGAAAGAAAAATTTTAGAAATGATTTGAGAAAGAAAGAAATGTTCTTAGAAATAAGAAGGAAAGAATTTTAGAACAGTTTGTGAGATTGAGAAAAAAGTTTTCAAACCACCATGTGATTGTATCCAAGTGATTACTCGTATGTTATGTGAATGTGTTTCTATAGTATACCCAGAAATAGAAGGTCTTTGTGACCATTTTACTCCACGTGTTGAGAGAATTATTCTGCTATGCATATCGAGATTACTTTATGCTAGTAGACCAGAATTATTCTGCTGTCTGTATTGAGATTACTCTTGCCAGTAGACCAGAATAGAATATAGATACATTTGTGGTGTTGAGTTTTATCTACCTATTTTATGATTGAAGAAGAATGTTATATATGTTTTAGAATGAGTTTTATAGCAGGTTGAGAAGTTGGCGTAATTAGATCGCAGGGGAATATCGGGGCGATAAGGGCCAAATCCGGATTCCGAATCCTGGACTCGGGAGTGTTGTCTTCTCGATTTGCCTGGAAAGAAATTATTGTTACCAGTTTGATCTATGAGAAAGTTTACTGAATTTTTAGTTGCTCAAGTTTTATGTGATTTTAAATGAGAATATTTGTTACTCCAGTTTTATGAAGTTTATTTCAAGAATTGAATTTTCAATTGTGTATGAAGAACGTTGACGAAATTATTTTYTTATTAACCTACTACTCACTGAGCTTCCCAACTCACTGTTTATGTTTTGTTTTCCCCCCAGGCTGTACCTGAGTATCTGAGTTTCTGAGTTTCAAAAGGATTTTAGTTCAGCTTCTGCCACCAGTGTAGTTGAAGATTTGCATATCACTTTGTAGTTGTTGTAAAGCTGTAATTACCCTTTTGATAGAAGAGAATTTATAGAATGGATGTAAGATTGGTTGTTCTGTAAAGATTATTATTTTTATCGTGCATCCATTTAGAGTTTGTTAGTCAAAGTTCAGGTCAAAGATAAGAAGAAGTTAACCATTGACTTCGTAGTTAGTCAGGGTCTATGGTTGGCGCGACTCGTTCTAGGACTAGTAGGTGTTTTGGGACGGGTCGTGTCAGTTTAGGTCCATAAAAAATAGAGAAAATAATAATTTATTGATAATTTGTAAAGTTTAATCGGTTAAAGATTCCACATCGAAAAGATCAAAGAATTAGCTACTCCTCTCATTGTCAATTGATTTTAAGATTAACCCATGAAAATTGATAAGTATTAGAGTCCAACAAGTTCAAACGAGCACTCGATTTAAAATAAAATCCGGTCAAAATTAGAGAGCCTAAAAAAGCTACCATCTTGAAGTAGTATATTAAGAATCCTCATAAAAAAATTAAGAAACCTAACAAAATTTATAACACGTCTAATAGCTCATCCTTATATTCGTTGTCACTTTCAATATCGATGTATTTTTCTTTATTCAATTCATCGTAATTCGTACGACTATCACGAATAAGATCTTCCCCAAGGAAAACAAAGCACAAGAGAGAAAAATGAAAGAGAGTAAGAAAGAAAAGAAAAAGACTAACAAACAAACAAAAAGAATCTAACCTCTTCGGCTAATTGCCTAAACAATAATCTTTCCTTTTTGTTGAATCTTCCTTTGCAACTTGTCTTTCTATTTCTAGTAGGCTATAATGCCTTTTAATGAAGTTTTGTATTTCACTTTTAAAGTTATATTAAGTTATTCACTTTGGCTTCTAACTTCTAAGCCAATTTATACACTGATTAAAGCAACAGCCTACCAACCACTCCTTAATAGCCTCTAAAGCATTTGAGGAAAAACTTTCTAGTACTATGGAATTATAGATATTCATTTCATTCATCAAGTGTCATGTTAGATGATATAGATTCCACCAATATTAAAAAAAAAAAAAATTTAACAAAAGGAGTATGGTCCTCCACTATTAGAAATTTTCTTCATCTTGAGGCACATTATTATTGTCACCATACTTGCATGTAGTACTCGAATTAATTATAAATTAATTAATACTACTTTATCACGGTCAATCCAAATATGGCTCAAATCTATTGATGGCTCAATCCCTCGCTCCGAAATTATTGAACTAAAATAATAGTAGTAATACTATTTTATGAAACCAAAGAAATCGCGCTCCTCTTATTGGGGATCGATTTTGCCATGTAGAGTTCTTAAAGCTTTGTCCATTGTTGAACAACATTATCGATATTGCTTAACCTTTGAAAAAAAAAATTTATCTGACAGATGAAGTATTATCCAACTATAGGCAATTTCTGCCATATCTTCATTTTTTTTCTTCTTTTGTTAATGTATTCGGTAATCCAATGGGATCAGTAAATGAAACTTTCTGCTGGACGAGTAAATTAAAGCCTTCACTTATAAAACAATCTATAAGGATTCTCCAGCTATCCATCTACTAAACATTACACTGCATTCTTTTCGAGTGTATTCAGCTGTGTGCCCTCCACCCTGTAAATTCGACCCAAAAAATAATACTCAAATCACATTTATAAGAAAGCTTAACTATTTTACATTAAATTTTCCTTACTTTTATGGTTGCAAATGTCATCTTATTTGCATAAGTTCTCGTATATCTGTCAAAGAAACAAAATGATCACATTAAATTGAATGGTTGAATTATACCTCATAATGCAAATAAAAGAAAAAAATTTACCCGGCTATTTGATCGACGATGAACCATGGTCTCCAATCATCGACAATGGAGTAATTTAAAGATCTAATCCATGCTTGAGTGTCCAAATGCGGCACAACCATATCATGATCACCGCTATGTTTAGGTTAACAAAAATAATTAAGGACATAGAAATTCTTGCAAAAAGAAAATCCTTTAGCACGGAGTTACAGATTACCTATAGACCAAAGACCGGTAACCTTTTGAACTAAGGTTCACATGACAAGAAAAAGCACTTTCAATATCAAAATTGTAATCCTCTCTTCTCTTACATCTTATCCATTCTCCAATACTTCCCTGTAAAAAAGAAAGAAAGTGACGGTTCAATATAACATTCTCGCTAACATTTAAAATTCTTTTTCAAAGCCCTTCATTTTTTACCTCGTGTATGTGAAGTGCCTTTTGAACTTGATCGTCGTTAGCCCAATAATAACCAAGTAAGAATTTATACGACTACATAACAAACACAGTTCACGATCATAAGCGCTTGTGATGAATTATAAGTGACTCGAGTTAAAAATAGGTCACAAGATATAAAACGAAAATGAATACAAATATATAGAATTAATTGTAGCATATGAGAAAGAGAAGAAATTACAGCGCAACCCAGAGAAGGAAGTGGTGGCTTGGGATCAAGGAACACTTTGGGAGTGTTATAGAGAGATCTTCGATCATGGTCATCTTTTTGCTTTGGAGACTCAAATGGACATTTTGGCAACAAAATACATCCTTTTTCCAATTTTGAAACACACTAGAATGATAAAAGTAAATAAATAAATAAAAACAAAGATACATATCAATTTTGAAACAAAAGAAAAAACTTGCAATAGTTCGAAAATTGCAGAAATAACATTGACAGATACTTACAAACCTTTTCATACGTATCATAATGTTTTAAGCACTCTACGTTATTGGGATCGATGTTTACATATTCTCCTTTGCAACTAGTTGTCAACCACTGTACACAAACTTAATAGTTAGATCAATCAATTTTTTCTTGCTTGTTTTTTGTGCCTATATTTGTTTTTTTTTTTTCATTATATTTTGTTCCTTTGATAAATTTTGTATTACCTCAAATAATTCATCAGAGATGAGGGTCATCCTATGAGCATAAGGAACTTGAAAATTTTGATTTGAATTGCGAATAGTGACAGGATTTCCTAATACATAACCCTTAAAAAAAAATTAATAATTAGTAAGCTCCATTTTAAACATTAAAGTTGGCCACTCAAAAAGAAAGCAACAAATTATCGACTCAAACTAATGTTATCACAAACCTGAAAATTTACAAATGGCCAATCGCTATTTCCTGTGACATTTAAGAAATTTTAAGAACAATGATTTATTCCATTAGATATCATCCACATCAATTGAACATTTTTTATACCTTCTAAGATTTTTTGAGCAACAACTGGAACAATCATACCAGCATATGAGTCTCCACCCACGTAGAATGAATTAGACATAAATTCTGGATGATCAGCCAACCACTACAAAATCAAACTGATTACAATTTTCACTCATCAAGAAAAATGCTTGATCTCAAACTAACAATAATCTTTCAAAGTTGTAATGAGACTTTCATATTTATACTCAAACTTAAAGTCTCATGTACCTTTTTCAAAAATTGAAGAGAATGGTGAACTTGACTAAAATCTCCCGTTTCAAGAGCCTCTTGAGTCGTACCATATGAAAATCCAGTGCCTACTGGCAAATCTACAAATATTATACTAGATTTCTAGCATCCATCACCACCAAAAAAAGTTAGTCTAACCATGGACACAATGAGAAAGAGAGACAATAATATTATTCAATAGGCTAAAATTTAGAAAATAAATGTCACCTTTGTCCACGAGTAGGGGTTCGAGATTATTTGAGGTAAACTCCCATTGAATCGCTCTTCCTTAAAACTTATAGGACCTTTAAAGGAGTACATTACAAAGTTATCATAATTCAATGAGTTATATCACTTGAAATAATCGAAATGCATCTAATAACATTTTCTATTATTCTGAGAAACAAAGATTTGTTTAATAATGATTTTATATGGACTAAACAATAATCATAAATCTATAATTATATATTTAAATAAAAAAATTACAGAGTCAAATGTCATCATATCTATTTATAAATATTGGATAAAAAAAATAAAAAAATTAGAGTAAGTTATGGCTTAAAAGTGAAAGTATGTTTGAGATAGGGGGAAATAACACATTGGAAAGTGTTATTGAGAGAAATTTAAGATCAAGGAAAATAAACTATAAAAATATGTCATAAAAGAGAGGGGAAAAAAAAAGTCAAGGGAAATAGAGAAAATCTTAGAGAGAAGGCTACAGACACAGTACATAAAGTAAGATTTTGAAAAATAAAAATTCAACCATCTACCAATCCAACTTCTGTCAAAAGAAAAAAAAAACAAAAACAAAAAAAGTCCCAAAATATAAAGTTTATCCCAAACCAAATTGGTTGACCATTTTTCTTTGGTTTCGTATCTAAATGAAATTCAAATTGGATTTATGGGTAATATCAGTTGTTTCTTGTTTTCAAGTTTATTAAGAAATTTAATTATTTTATCTTTTTCTTAATAGAAATTTTAGAAATAAGAAAAACTAATTTTTCTTAAAAGAATTATTTTATCATATTTGAATTTTAGGATTATTTTTTATTATTAAAATGGAGAAATAGAAATAAAGAGTAAAAACAAAAAAAATGAAATAGCCTTGTTTTATGCAAGCAGAGCAGAGCGATTAATGATGAGTTTAGAGTATACGAATTACCAATTTCGAAGGCAAGCGAAGTTAAAGCAGAGCATCCGGGGCCGCCGGTGAGCCACAGAAGCAGAGGATCCGTTTCGGGATTGGCCTCCGATTCAACAAAATAGTAAAAAAGCTGCACTTCCTCCGATTCGCCCACGCCCACGTATCTGATCAATGATCATATCATTTCATCTCAAAATCACCCATTTCTCAATCTCTTTCCCTTAAAGAGAAAAAAAAAAGTTTCAAAAACTAACCCAGTTTCAAGTACGAAAGGCAGAGGACCAGAGAATCCCGGCAGAAACTTCACCTTCCGGTAAGAACCCACGGCGGTGGCGGTGGCGGTGGCGGTGGCGGAGAAGATCTTAAAAAGAAGAAGGAAGAAAACAGAGGAGCGGAAGACGATGGCGGCCATGGAGATCGAGTCAACGGCAGCGGCGGAGGTCTCGGAGACGGACGGTTGGGTCTCTCATACAAGGCACACGTATTTATTTTAAGACCGCCCATCATTTTATTTATTCCCATTAACTTCTACATTGTTGGGAAAATCCAGATAAATTCTATAATTGGGGTCAGATAAATCTACGTAGATGAAGATAATTATCTGCATTGAAACGAGAGTTTTTGGATTAAAACAAACAAAAATAAAGTCGTGTGGGGTGTGATTGAAAGCGAACAGTATCACAAAAATACTTTGGATATTGGATATTTTTATCGTCCTTAACATGCATCAATATTTCTCCTTCAATTTATGAGCCCACTAAATTTTTAAGGTTGTATTTAATAAATCTCAAGAAAATTTTATTGCTACATCTTAGAATCTTTAAATGTGTCTGATAATCTCTAAAAATTTTGACCTTGTGTTTTCTAGAAAATTCAAGTCTCTCCTTAAAATTATAAGGCTAAAGTTTTATTAGATACAAAATTTAAGAATTCCTTACCGATGGTTAAATCGGATAATAATCTATTAACCAAAAAATTGAAAGTTTGAGATTTATTAAACATATCTAAAATTCAAATTTTATGCACAAGTTTAAATTATAAATTTCATTTATGTGATTTAAGCTTAGTTTTCATTTAGTATTTATAGTTCACAAACTTTAAATTCAATATTAATGCTTGAGATTATTTTCAATTTTGTTAATTTAGTTTGGTTAAATATTATAGATTATCAATATGTTGTTTTTTACCTGCCTTAAATCCACTCGTTTTCAATTATTTTGTAATTAAATATAAACTCTTAGTACAAGTAGTTAATTAACATAATCAACCAAATTAATAATTAAAAAAAAAAGCCCAAGAGCATATATAATCTATGTAGTTTAATCAAACTATAACAATCAAATTATATTTATATTCAATCACTAAATTTATAACTTTAACATATATTAATATTTCTGATTATAGAGTAATAGATAATAGAGACATTCATGCATTTTTTTAGTTTATGTGTGAGTGACAATTTGATCTCTCACCATTTAGTTGGAGATATATGGAAAGGCGACAACTGGACTTAGGGAGGGATCGAGCCGTCCTAAACTTTACAATGGTTTGTATTATATGTTAAGTAAGCTCATTAGCTGTATTGTACATTTTAATAGCTAATTTTGTATTTTTATACCACAACATTATTAATTTATCATAATACTAGCCTTGTATCATTTTGATTATTTACGTAGCATTTAAAGGATTATGTCTACATGTTCAAATAAAATTTATATAACAATAATTTAATAATTCATCACTCTCGTAAACAAATTTTTAAAAATTCTCACATAAATTTATTATTATTATTATTATTATTATTATTATTTTTTGCGTACAACAAGTAGAGGATTCGAATTCATGACCTCTAGGTCAAAGAAGTATTCTAATTACTGCTGAACTAAACTCACATAGACAATTTTCTCACATAATTGAAATTTTTTAGTTTACCTATAAAATCTTTTACAAAGATTCTCCTGTTATCCATCTACTAAACATTATGCTGCATTCTTTTCGTGTGTATTCTGCTRTGTGTCCTCCCCCCTGCAAATGTCAATTAAAACAAAATATATAGTACACAAAATCACTTGCAAAAGAAAGCTTAATTAATTTACACCAATGGTTTTTCTTACTTTTATAGTTGCAAATGTCATCTTATTTGCATACGTTCTCGTGTATCTGTTGAGAAATAAAATCACTATTAAATTGTTGAATTACCTTACTAAAGTTCACGGGATAAATAAATAATATCAACAACTATCATATAACAAAATAAAATAATTGAATTGCACAACAATGATTGGAGCAAATGTCGATATAAATAAAAATAATTACCCGGCTACTTGATCTGCAATTAACCACGGTCTCCAATCATCAACAATAGAATAGTTTAAAGCTCTTATCCACGCTTGAGTGTCCAAATGCGGCACTACCATATCATGGTCCCCACTATACTTGGATCAACAAAAATAATTAGGAAATAAAAATTCATGCAAACAATCATTTAGTAATAAATTATAGAGTATTACCTATAGACCAAAGACCGGTAACTTTTAGAACTAATGTTCACGTGATAAGGAAAAGCACTCTCAATTTCCATTTTATAGTCTTCTGTGCTCATACATCTTATCCATTCTCCAATGCTCCCCTGAAAGAAGAAAAAAAAGTGTAGATTCAAATATTGTCTTTTAGTTAATATTTAAAAATTCTTTTGCAATTCCTTCTCTTTTACCTCCCGTATGTGAAGTGCTTTTCGAACTTGATCGTCGTTCGCCCAATAATACGAGAGTAAGTATTTATACTCCTGCATAACAAACACGATTCAAGATCATCTTTGCGAGGAAATAAGAATTAATATCGCCATCAATTGATTCGAGTAATAGTTCACAAAATGTCTACATTTTCTTAATTCATGAGAAGGAGAAGAAAATTACAGGGCAACCAATGGGAAGAGGAGTGTTGTAGAGAGATCTTCGAGCAGATAAAGCTTGTTGCTTTGGAGACCGAAATGAACCACAACTTGGCAACAAAATACATGCTGTCTCCACTTTCGAAATACACTAAGATGAAAAACATCAAAACCGAGAATAACTTGAAATAGCTCTCAAATAACATCAACAACTATCATATAATATGAAATAAATAATAATAATAATAATAATAATCTTACCAACCTTTTTGTATGTGTTGTAATGTTTTAAGCACTCCACGTTACTTGGATCGATGTTCACGTAATCTCCTTTGCAGTTAGTTGTTAATGACTGTACACGAACTAAAAGTTAGATTAGTTCTTCCTCATCTCATATATTTTCTCTCTTTTTCGGTTTTGTGTTTATATTTTCTTTCTAAGTTACAACTTTTTTTATTGAGCAAACGGTATGGTACCTCAAACAATTCATCAGAGATGAGAGTCATTCTATGAGCAAAAGAAATTCTAAAATTATAATATGAACCGCGAATAGTAGCAGGATTTCCCAAGATATATCCCTAACATGGGAAATGAAAAAACTAGTTAGTATGCTAAAGTTAGAACCTGATCAATTGTACAAGTGAAAGAAGTCTAATTCACAAACCTGAAAATTTATAAATGGAAAAACATGTCCATTTCCTGTGACATTAAACAAATTAGGTATAACAATACATCTCATCTAATTATTATGCAATGGCAATAAAAAAATATTTACCTTCTAAAATTTCTTGGGCTATAGCGGGGACAATAATACCAGAATATGAATCTCCGCCAACATAGAATGGATTTGATATAAATTCTGGATGATCAACCAGCCACTACAAATTTCACTTGGCGGGTTACAATTATGGAATGCAAATGCTTGACTTTAAACTATCAATCATCTAAAATTAAATTTGGCAATTTGTCACAAAATTTTGTGATATTTCTCAAACTTTAAATTTTCATGAGTATATATATATATACCTTTCTCAAAAACTGGATCGAATGGCGAATTTGACTAAAATCTCCAATCTTACGAGCTTCTGAAGTTGTAGCATATGAAAATCCAGAGCCCACTGGCAAATCTAAAAATATGATACTAGATTTCTAGCATCCATTATTGTCATGAAAATTAGTTTAACCATGCATGAAAAGAAAAAAAAAAAAAATCCCACTTTCTTTTTATTATTAATATTATAATTAGCCGAAGTCTAAAGAATTACTGTCACCTTTGTCCATGAGTGGGGGTTTATGTTTAGTTGAGGTAGACTCCCATTATTTGGCTCTTCCTTAAAACTTATGGGACCTTTGAATAAATATCATATAAAATCATCACAATCAATCGTATCAAATCACTCCAATAATCAAATGTGGATTAAATAATAGAGATATAAATGTTACGACATGTATAACATGATTCAATTGGTTAAGACATATAAAATTAACCAAAAAATCAAAGATCTAAATCTTTATTACACGTCTTAATATAATTTTATTTTTTTTCGCACCCACAGTATTTTCAAATATAAATATGGTAGCATTTGTGTTGATATGACTAATTAGCCCAATGAGACTAATTAACTTGTATTTTTGTAAAAAGCTGACTGATGTAGAAACAATTTTACAAAACTAAAACGAAAATCTTGTTTAACATTGATTTCTTTTCAGCCATAGTCATACCACAATTATAAATTATGATTTGACTTTTAATTATAAAAACTAATTTTATTAAGTATAGCTTTTAAACAATAAAATTATAAAATATTAGAGAAAGCGAAGAAAAAAAAAGGTTATAGAAAGAAAATTTAGAAAAACAAAAGTTTAGCGAGAAGATCCTTTTTTTTTTCTTTTTTAAATGAAGTCTAGACAAAAAGATATGTTAAAAAAAAGAGTAGGTGATAGAGAATAAGGCCAAAGATATAAAAGGTGAAGAATTAAATAAAAAATCCAAATCAAAATAGTTTATTTACAAGTTTACTGCATAAATTTTTGAGTTTGTGTTTACTAAATTTTAAAAAAATATCGAATAAAATCCCTAAATTTTTAATTTTGTGTCCAATACATTTTTGAATTTTTTAAATATCTAATAGGTCATTAAATTTTTAATTTTGTATCTTAATAGATTCTTAACTTATTCGATAATTTTGAAAATTAATACAAAATAGATTTTGTATTTAGTAGAATTTTAAACCTCTAATTTATGTTTGATTAAAAAATATTCCAAAAAGAAAAATAGTAAAAAGACTATTAGATACAAAATTAAAAATTTTAATGATTTATTATTCATTTTATAAAGTTAATGCACTTGTAAGTATTTATCATTTATTATCATGAGTTTAGCTTAATGGTAATGGATGCATCTTTCTATCCAAGAGTTGATGATGTATTAAAAAATATATATATATTTATCATCAAAATTAAATTAATATGCAAAAAAAAATAGCAACCGCATATTTAAATAGCTTTTTTTGGATATGGGAATCTTGAAATGAGTTGCATTAAATTAGAAAGATAGAACTGTGGGGGTTTTTTTATTTTTTATTATTTTTTTAAGATGGCACAATTTTGAAAACTATTTTTAGTAAATATTTGTAGTTTTGTGAATTATTTTGACAAATATCGTTATTTTAATTGCGCTAGAAAAATGACTGATCGGAGGCTTATCAGAAAGACCCAACCCTACCTTTATTGTTGTACAGTGCAATTGCTTTTTTAGTCTTTGGAATTTCATAAAATTACACCACAATATTCTAAAATTAGTTTTTAAAATTTTGAAAAAGAAAAAGGAATTAAAAAAAAATGGTTATGGTTAGCTAAGGGTTTACCAATTTCAAAGGCAAGCCCAGTGAGAGCAGAGCAACCGGGGCCTCCGGTAAGCCATAGAATGAGAGGATCGGATTGGGGATTTTCTTCGGATTTGAGGAAATAATGAAACAATTGAACATCTTCAAAATCCCCCACACCCACGTATCTGTTCATATTCCAAAATCCTATAATCAATCGCTACTCTTTTCAATTCCAATTTCAGAATAAAAACCTTAAAAAGAAGAAACAAAACTTACCCGGTTTCGAGTACGAAAGGAAGGGGACCGGGTAATCCCGGCAGAAACTTCACCGTCGAGTAAGAACTTCCGGCAGCGGCGGCGGCGGCGGAGGAGGAGAAGACCTGAAAATGGAGAACCAAGAAAACAGAGAAGCGGAAGAGGATGGTTTTGGAGGCCATGGACAAGATGAATCGGCGGGCGTTTGAATGGGGGGTGGGATAACATAATATAATGATAAAGCCAGGGGCCTTACATAATTTTATATTAATTTAACACCGACTGTTTTTTTTCTCTTGTTTCAATGTGTTAGGTGATAAAAAACTGGACCAAATAAGAAGAGTGAGACTCTAAATTGAGGTATGAAATTTCGAACCCGTCTTTTGAAAAGTTACGCACGAATATCCCGGCTATAAAAGATACCTCGGTTTTAAGGGATAACTCGGCCACAAATTACCTCGTCCTTGATTCAATGCTCGACCATAGAGAAAGAAATATATCACAAAACCACTTAACTGTAATCCTGACAACACGTCTTAATTTACAAACAATTGTAATTGCTCTTCAGCATCTATTGAAAGTACACGAAACTATATCCTCTCTAGATGATAGATCGAATAAGTACTGACTAGGAACATCAGAAATGCTAACTCTATTTTGGAAATCTTTCCGTTCGCTGGTATCAATAGTCCAATATTGGTTAAGAGACTTGATCATTTTTCTGATCAATAGAGTGTAGTACCACCAAGGGAGAAATTTTTTGTACTCTGGAAAAAAAAAATACTCTTTCAATTCATTGCTGGTCAATATTAAAAAAAAAATGATGTTGCCACCTACCAATATTTAAAAAATTATTTATAAAGTAAAATCATAGTGTGAATACTCCAAATAAATTGTTTAGAAGTTTGGCTAGATGTAACAACGAGTATCCAAACTATATAGGGATAAAAATAAAGTTAAATATAAGTTTACTCTTTTAGCGAGTCTTTAAACTTTAAAACTTTCCAGTTTGAGTTTAAAATGTTTAATAGATCTCTAGTTTATTCGACATTTATTTTTTTAAAATTAATGGATCTAAAAAACATTAAAAAAAATTGAATTTTATGTCCATTAGATTTATTTATTTATTTTTGTATAATAAATTCATGAATTCTAAAATATGTTTAGAACTATTAAACACAAAATAAAAAATTTGGAGAACCATTCAGTTGAGAGGATGAATCTGTAATTTAATCTAAAGACAAATTAATCATATAATAATATAATAATTCACTGCTGCACCCACATCCTGGTTTTCCTTTCGTGTGGCGCGTGAGTTTAATTAATTTTATCAAATTTTTTTTCTAATTATCAAATGTCTAATAAATGTTAAAAAATTTTGATAAAATATAATGATTTTGTATCTTTTATTTTTAAAAACTAATTTTCATGTTAAAAATGATTTTTTTTTAATTTCAAGTTTAAGACAATGAAAAACAAGTTCCAAACACATGGTTGTGCCTTTTTCTGGTTTTTAATAAAGAATAATAAACACTTACCGAACAAACAAGAAACAGAAAATAAAAATAACATCAAATGGGCTTTTAATTCATTCTTGTGTGAATTTAAAATATCTCTTATATATTTTATATGTCATGTGCTACTCGCGCTTAATTTCTTTTTTTTTTTTTTTGAAAAAATTATTCCTCTCTTGTTCAATTCACATGCTGATGACGGGTATGATATTATTATTTGTTGGACTTAAAATATCTATGAGATTTCTCCAGATTTGGACAATATTTAGTTGGACAGTAATTATCTTATTTTCCTTAAAAAAGACTAATTTTATTTTATAAGTATAGCTTCTAGACATTAAAATTAAAAAATATTAGAGAAAAAGACAAAAAGATAAAGTTGAAAGAGAAATTTTAAAGAAGAAAAATCTAGAGAGAAGTATTTTTCTTTTATCTTTTTTAAATGAAGTCTAGAGAGAAGTTATTCGAGAAGAAGTAGTACCAGATAAATAATTTTTTAAAAAAAAAAGTCTAAGGATCAAAATTAAATAATTAATAACAATCACACATTTATGACTGCATTAATGAGAAAAGTATAATGTCAGGGATTTTTTTTGAAAAAAAAAATTTAACTCGAGGAACTTGTTCGAGACCATTAAATATTTTACAACTAATAAAAATATTAAAATAAAATGAAAAAAAATAGGTTCATTAAAGTTAAGGAGTGACTTCCTACTTTACATCATTAAATATTTGACAATTAAGGAAGAAAATTGTAAAAATTAAAAAAATAATAAATTGTGAAATATTTAATGATCTAAGGGATCAAGTTTTTTCATTAATTTTTCTTGTTAAGTTACTATTATAAGAAGAAACATAAGTTAAATTAGAAATATATCTTTTAAAAACCTCATTTATAACTATGGTTTTAAATTATTTTAGCAAATATTATTCTTTTATTTGAGTTAGTATTTTACCAGTCAAACGAGCTAGTTGGGCGAAAGGGACAAGTTTTACTATTATTGTTGCGTAGTATGGTGGCAAGGTCTTTGAGATTTTTCAAACTACGCAATTCTTGAGAAAAAAAAAAGTTTGGAAAATAAATTATTTTAAAAATCTATTAAAAAAATAATATTTTTAATTTTTCTCTATATCGATAACAATGGAAAACAATCATTTAACGTAAATTTATATTTTAAAATATCACTTTTTTTTAATATAGCATAAATGTCGTTTGTTTGGATTGGATTATGCTATTTTTATAAGGTTTCAAATTTTATGTTATATTTGAGAATGTGTATTTTACTTGTTAATGTTGGAGTATTTTTCTAATTTATATTATATATTTCAATTTAATTACTCATGCTTTAAGATTTTAATTTAGTCACTTTATTATCAGTTAAAATTCGTTTATATGTACATGATACTTAATAGTGTGTGTCTGTATATATACATATATTTTGTACAGATTTCTTTTTTTATATATTAAGAGTGAATTTTAAAATTTTAAAAGATTAAAAATTAAATTCAGAAAAATCAATTAGCATTCGATATCTAAATTTGTTTTTGTTTTTGTTTTTTTAAACTTTGATAAAATTAAGAATTTATTTTTTTTATCTCGGGCTTTTAGGTTTTACCCGGATGTGTTAGAATGAAACTCCTTTAATTTTTTTTTATTGTATTTGTAAAAAATGTACGAGATAAATGATAAGAAAGCAAACATGATATTTAAAATATAGAAAATTGAATTTGTATAAAAGAAAATGTGTGAGAAAAATGGAAAAAAATGTTAAAGTATAAGTTTGGTCATAAACTATCGTGATTATGTCTATTTAATCTTTGACTTCAAACTTTTAATACGTTTTTAAATTTTAATTTTAAAGTTGTATCTATTTAGTTTTTGTACCTTAAAATTTTTTTAAACGTACCTTAAACTTTCATTATCCTCCGAGTTATATTTGAATTCTCATTCTCCTACCCCCATTTCTTCGTATGCTCTCCAAGCACCTAACCCCAACTAAATCAACTTGCACTGTAATCTCTAAATAGTACAATTATCGTACTATATTAATATTAAATTAAATTAATGAGCCACGAAGTTGAGAGTTCGAATTTTCATCCCACATGATGTACTATTGTTATTCTTTAGAAGTTATTAATAGACTTATTAGATACAAAATTTAGAGTTGGAAGCTTATTGATTTTTTATTTTTATTTTTTTAATCTTCTACCAAATAAATCTCTAAAATTAAGCCCATAAAGTTTATTTGTTGGAGGGGTAAATTTGTGTAAAATATTATTTAGAATTAGTGATCTGTATAAATATTTTTGGCCATTTTTAAATTTTGTTTTTTTTTTATTAAATGTGGAGAAATAGATATTTGCTGCTTTCTTATTGGGCCAATTACCAATAATCAAAGCCCTTCCCGTCATATGAGGCAAAAGACTAGCAAAACAAAAGATCCCCATCTATTTTGGGCCAAGCCCACTCAAAAGATAAAAGGTGCACTAGACCGTCATGCCCTAATCAATAATATTTTTTATCCTCGGTATGGACATAACTTAATTAAATTATTATTATATTATTTAATACTACGAAATCAAATAAATTATTCATTAGCGTTTTTAGTACAACAATAGTAGAGGTGACGATTTGAATCGACTACTTTCCTGCAAAGATATATGTCTTAACTAGCACTGATTAACGCTCTTTTCATATAAAAGAAAATAACTATTACCACTTCTTTATGCAAACAACTAACGTTTATATATTTAGATAATTGAAATCCATAGGCATCGATGTATGATATTTTTTTTAGTGAGTTGCCATTATATAAGTACATATTTAGTATCAGTGTGAAATTTTTTATTCATAGTTGAAAAAAACAATGTGGACTTGAGCCGAAGGAGAGAATATAATATATACCATTGGCGGTATAATTTATAAGGCTCGTTTCCCAAAGTAGATCCAAAAACTTTGTTTTCAATATTATCTTATTTGTTCCATATTATATTTGTAAAGCATGGACAAGTTTATTATATTCATTTGTTTTTTAATAAGTTTATTATATTTAATTATTCATATTCAAAAGCAAATTCAAATGCCAACCTTTTTACAAATTCTTCCATTACTACTATTGTTTGTATATCATGACAACATTAACAAATACATATGAAAATAGAGTGTATCTATATGTATGCGTACATTTTGATTATTATTTATTTGTAGTTTCTCAATTTTAGTTCAATTAACTACAAAAGTGGGTCAAACCATCACTCTTAGAGAATCACAATAGGTACTTTATGTATTTAAGATATGTTAATTGTAAAGTAATATGTATATAGAGGTGTTCATTTGTTGGATTGGATTGGATTGAGATACTTTTTAAATCAAACCCAATTGTTAGGGGGTAAATTTATTCAACCCGATCAACTCTTACTAAAAAAATCAAACCCATCCCAACCATAAATTATGTGGGTTCGATCGGTTCGAGTTATTCAAGTCACTTATTTAAAATAATGTATCAAAAATGGTAATATCTTAAAATTTTATTTATGTGTTGTCAATATTGAATCAGAAAATCAATATCTATTCCTATGATGAAAAAGTAAATTCTAAAACTTAAATAAAAAATTATTTTTAGAAGTTGCAGTAGAATAAGTAATTCATAGAGAGTTATTAAATGAAATAAAATAAAATATATATATATAAATAATTTTTAGGATGAACGAAGAAATAGTTTTAAAATTGACCAATACAATTTTCATTTATCTTGATCAAACCTAAGTCCAACAAATTTATAATCAAACCCAAAAGTATGGATTTATCTATTTTTTTTTTTAAGATCATCAAGTTTTTTGAATACCCTTATTTATATATATATATATTATTCGCATCTTGTGAAACAGTGAATTTGTATTTTACTCGAAATATTAAGTTACATAATTTAGATATAATATAGAGGTGATAAATATTTTTTTTCCATTGTAACATAATTCAACTAACTAAAACATCAATCTCACACCAAACAATCGATTTACATGTTAGTTGTATTAAACATCAACTTGAATGCTCCATTTCAACAAATAATTTAAACACTTTCATTCAAACACGTTGGACTCAAATTTCTAGGACTTTGAATGTCGAGGGCATCTAACAGACTCACACACAAATCAACAACGTCCCTTTCTTAGATTATAATTAAACAACAATAAATAAGGTTTTTAAACAATATTCAAACAATAAAATTAAAAAATAAATAAATAAACTCAAAGTTTCGGAAAATTCTAATAAGATTTTAAGCGGATATTACTCCAGTTTATGTACTAATTTTTTTAACCTATTGTTATTTGATATCAAACATATTTTGCAAGCTCACCACAGGGCTATTTCGTTTTCTTTTTGAATTTTGTAGACATTAATTCATCAACACATATCATTTTTTAGGTTCAAATTCCAACCTAAAGGGTGTCTTTTTTTTTCAGATGCAATTAAATATTATTGAAATCATATTATAGAAATTAAAAAAAGTTTGAAAAAAAAAATTAAGTTGATAAATAAAATAGCCATGTCCTACTTTCCTCGAAGTCGGAAATTCGATCCTCTATACTTTCAAATTGTTGTACTAAAAAAATAGGTAAATATATTGAATATATACTAACCTCGCTGCTTATATTGATTGGTAGTTGGATTTTATATACCTAATAAAATAGTAATTCAATGATCCATATGGATCTATTGCAGCATTTTTTTACGAATGACAGGATTAAGGATTTAATTCATTAGAAGATTTTTTGACAATTTAAAAAGATTGATGACTGGATTGAGAATTATCTAAAATATGAAGTACCTTATTGTATATTTAACAAAAAGAAAATGTTGGAAAGTTCAAAAATTAGAGGGAAAAATCTGGTGTGTGGTTTGACCAGTCTCAGTGCGTCCCCTCATGCAGTTGCTTCCCTCACAGCCAACAGAACACTGACACGTAGCAACGGGAACCGTGCGGCTCTGCCAATTCACACTGTTCTAAATCACCCGCAGGCCGCAGCGGCAGCGCACCATTATTTATCTCTCTTTTCAAAAAATATAAAATAATAATAATAATAATTAAGGGTGGAAGATTGGAGTTGGGGAAGTAGGAAAAGCAAAACATTTGACTGATGACTCTAATAATAATGATGTTTTGAATCCAAGTACATGGTGGTGATGGAGTCTCTTGACTTTTTGAATTTCCAAACTCAAAACTGCCTTATTATTATATTTTTAAATAAATCCCCTCACTCATTAAAATATTTCTCACCTACATTATATCTATTTTTAAATGCTGAAATTAGCACTTTTGGTTGTTATTTTAATAAATTCAAATTTAACGAACTTGAGGGTGTACCAAATGAGTTTATTGTATAGTTTGTATTCAAACTATTCAAATAAAGGAGTATAGTACAAATGTGAGAATTGTGCAACACATGGGGTAAAATATGAATGTTTACAATCTTGAAATACACGAATGGGTCATAAATTTTCATAGGAAGATGTGAAATTTTAGATGGTATCATGTTAAAACCGGGGAGGGAGTAGGAAAATTTGATCTAGACTATGAATTTAGAAAAATGTAATTTAAAATAAACATATTCACTCAACAAGACTTAAAATTACCTTCTTAGTCCAAATCATACAAAATTAACTAGTGAAACAAATTGCTTTTTTTTTCTTAATTTAAATATATCATCGTTTATTATTATAATTATTTTTAAAAAGTTTAAACTTCTTAAATATCTATACGAAAGATGAATTTGAAACCTACCTTCTTCAAGAAGGATGGAAGAACATTAAAACTTTAACTATGTTCATATTCACTGTTGATGTTATATTTATATTTTAAAATTTTAAATAATTATTTATATACAAATGGCTGATAATAATAATAATAATTTTTTCTTTTTTGTGACATACAGATGGTTGATAATTAAGGAGAAAGAAAGAGTATATTATAGCAATGATAGATAGCACATTATTTACAGCGAAATGGGCTACCAAATTACAGAATTACAAGGTCGCAGTAACACGAAACGGCGCCGTTAAAGGTCCGCATCAGTCACCACCTCGTGTCGCGGTTATTCCGTAATATATTATTCAATAATTTTGATGGTAACATCAATCGCTTTTTTTCATCATAAAAAAAAAAATCGCTTTTTTATTTTGACCATTTGACCAATTTTGCATCCCCAAGTCCAACCCAGGGACCATCCAGATGCCCACAAACTCCCAGTAAATAATTATTATAAAATAAAATAAAAGAAAAAACCGGCGATCACGGTTATAAGAGGTGAAAAGGCACGACTACACGTGTGGCTCCCGGTTAAACTACCGAGTGTAGCCGGTGACTGGCTGTAAAAATAAAAACCCTAATTAAATTAAAATTAAGAAAAAGAAAAAAGGGGGCTTCAATTCTCCATCCCCTGGCCCAAGCGATAGACCATAGCAGAGTGTGGGAGAGATCAGAGAAGAGACTCCGCAGAAACTTAAAGCTTTTTTTTTTCTTCTTCATCTTTCTCTTTCTCGGTGCCTCCCATTCTTTCGTGTCTTAGATCCTACAAAATTTCTTCTGGCACTTTTTTCCTATCAAAATAATTTTGGGGTTGAGTGTGGTGTTTCTCGAGTATGAGTGATTTACATCCATGGCGTCGCTTTTGATTCCCTCTTTTTTGGGTGGGTTTTGATGATTTCGCACTTTTTGTGGAGCTTGAAGAGGAAGTGAGCTTCATTCGACGCTACTGATGACGATGGAGGCGATGGCGAAGAAGAAGAAGAAGACCACCGCTCTTTTGACCAGCGAAAGGGTTCAGATAAAAGATAGAAAAGAAAAGCATCAATGTGGGAAAGGAATCAAAGATGTCCCCATTCGGTATTTTTGCTGATTTTGATTGTCAATGGGAAGGATACCAAAAGATAGTCGAAGAAAGTGAAAGTAAGAGAGAAGCAAGAAAAAATATCAGACTCTTCTTCTTTTTCTTTCCCCCTTTTGATTCTTCGCACGTATTTCTCTGTCGTAGCGTTTGAAACCCTTTGTGTTGTGCTCTGGTTGCTGAAAGTATTCAATAGCTGGTTCTGTTTTCTATTTCAGGGTTTCGGGGGTATTTTTTTTCCTTCTGTCGAGATTTGGTTTTAAGGGTTTGCGAAAATGCCGATGTACCAGCCGTCCGGTCGGCGAAGGGAAGCCGATTCGGAGCTGGGTGTGGGTGGTGGTGGGCAAGTTCTCGATGTGGAGACCGCCGTGAAGGACGGTATTCTGGGCGGCGGGGGTGGGTTAATCTGCGACGGCGGAGGGGCTGAGAAATTGGATCTGAAGGAGATGGTGGAGGAGCTGGAGAATTTGGAGGTTCCATCCGTGTTTATTTGCCCAATTTCATTGGAGCCAATGAGAGATCCTGTTACCCTTTGTACTGGCCAGACCTACGAACGAGCCAACATCCTCAAATGGTTCTCTCTCGGCCATTTTACTTGCCCCACCACAATGCAGGAGCTTTGGGATGATTCAATCACCCCCAATAACACCCTTCACCAACTGATTTACAGTTGGTTTTCGCAGAAGTATTTGGCAATGAAGAAGCGGTCGGAGGATGTTCAGGGCAGGGCTCTTGAGCTCTTGGACACATTGAAAAAAGTCAAGGGTCAGGCACGTATCCGAGCTTTGAAGGAGCTCCGGCAAGTCGTGGCCTCGAATTCTTCAGCAAAGAAGACAGTGGAAGACAATGGTGGTCTCGCTTCAATTTCATCCTTGTTGGGTCCTTTCACGTCCCATGCAGTTGGGTCGGAAGCCATTGGGATTTTGGTTAACTTGGTTCTCGATTCTGAGTCGAGGAGAAACCTTGTTCAACCTGCAAAGGTTTCGTTAATGGTGGACATGTTGAATGAAGGATCCACAGAGACCAAAATCAACTGCACCAGATTGATTGAGACTTTGCTGGAAGGGGACGATTGCGGAGCAGAAAACATCTCGAGTTTGAGCCTTTTGGTTGGATTATTGAGACTAATCAAGGAAAAGAAACACCCAAATGGTGTTCTTGCTGGATTAAGATTGCTAAAATCTCTTTGCTCCCAAGAACCAGTGTGGAACTCAGTAGTGAGCATAGGGGCAATACCACAATTGATTGAAATTCTGCCGAATTTTGACCCCGAATGTTTGGAACTAGCCCTTCATGTATTGGACTCACTATCATCCCTCTCAGAGGGCAGGGTGGCCTTAAAAGATTGCCCCAACACCATTCCCAACTTAGTGAAATTGTTAATGAGAGTCTCAGAGAGCTGCACTCAGCTAGCTCTATCAATCTTATGGGCAGTTTGTAAACTCGCCCCTGAAGAATGTGCAGCACAAGCAGTGGAAGCAGGCTTAGCAGCCAAGCTTCTTTTGGTGATCCAGAGCGGTTGCAATCCCGTTCTGAAACAGCGCTGCTCCGAGCTTCTGAAACTCTGCAGCTTGAATTACACAGCGACGCACTTCATTTCCAAGTGTAAGCTCACAAGGACAATACAATAAGGAAGGGAGAGAAAAAACCAGCGAACTCGAAACACAGATACCGCCATCTCTAGAGCTCCATTCGGGTTCGAAGAAGGTTATATAAGGAGCCAGTGGGAATGGCATTTTGTCAAAAATAAGCCTGGGCAAGCGGATATGGCGACTCTGTAATAGATTATTATGTGGATAAGATGAAGATAAGATTCTTGTTAGAGCCTGAGTTTTGAATTTGAAGAGTAAATGAATGAAGATATCTTTTTTCTGCCTTAAAAAAGGGTTTCTTCTTCTTCTTCTTCTTCTTTTCTTCTTCCATCTGGAGATGAATCAATCAATCAAGTGGGGGTGAGTATTTGAGTTCTCACCATTGTAAATTTTTGTAGAGGTTTTTATTGGCCTATCAAATCGTGTATGATGATGATGATGAACAATTTATTATTTTTTCCTTCTATTTCAGATACTTTATTATTGTAGGTTTTGGAATGTGAAATTTTTGGTACTAATTTTTCTGTTTGTTATCATTACTAAAAGAATCAGAGGTGATCGTGGGAGTAGAATGATTACTTTGTTGAACAAACTTAATGGGCAATGGAATAGTTTTTCAACATCATTTGATTCCTACTCTTATTTTGGTTCTAAAAACTTCTCTGTATTTTCTGGTTTTAAGCGAAGAGTTTGAAATTTTCTTTTTGCTTTCTCTAAACATTATTTGATCAAGCAAACTTATATAATCAACTAATTTTAATACTCATCAAATGAAAGAAAAGATGATCTAAAATAAAAACAAACTAATTTTATGAATTAATTGAGTTGTTTTGTTTAGAAGACATGATGTAATGGATGGTACAGTTAACAGTGTTAAGCACAGATAAAGTAAAGTAAAGAAAAACAATAATAAAAAAATAAGTTGGAAAATAATAATTATATAAAAGAAAAAAGTACAATTCCGATGAAGGGTCCCCCAAAGATTGAAAGCCTTTTCATCTTGTGTGTGTGAATAAAGGTTGATTGAGAGTTTGGATATGATTGGTCATGAATGCCCAGAAAATTGGTCGGAAAATGTCTACCAA